CCCAGGTTTGATCCTCAGCACCACATACAAACAAAGATGTTGTGTCTGCCGAAAACTAAAAAAATAAATAAATAAATATTAAAAAAAATTAAAAAAAGAAAACTTTATCTTCCAAGTTTCCATCATGAGATTCTTAAAATAAAAACAAGTTGTTTGTTTCAAATATTGGAAAAACTAGTCAGGTATGCTGGCTCAAGTCTGTAATCCCAGTAACTCAGAGGCTGAGGCAGGTGGATCACAAGTTCAAGGCTAGCCTCAGCAATTTATTGAGACCCTGCCTCAAAATAAAAATTTTAAAATAGGACAAGGGGTGTAATTCAATGGTGGAGTACTTTCCTTGCATGTGTGAGGCCTTGGGTACAATCCCCAGTACTGTCAAAAAACAACAACAAAAAAAAGCCTAATGGCAAAAGTCCAAGTGGATTGAGCCAAGAACCAATACCTTAAACTCCAAGTGAAGGAGCCTGCACTGTTTATTTCAGAGTCTGGCTGCGCCTTCATTTATCCCCCGGACTCTCCTGGAGTGTCTTACCAGATGGCACTAGAGAGGCAGAAGATGTGTTCCCTGCTCACTCTCCAGGAGCTCCCGGATGCTAAGAACTGGGCAACTCGTGCTCACTGGCACAAGGTCCTAAGTGCTCCTGTAAGGTGTGTGCAGAGAACTGGGAAGCCACAGAAAGCTGCAGGCCCTCCCAGAGGTTAGAACTGGAGAGGGTCTGATACCTGGGGACGGTGGCCTCTCAGATGGGCCTTGGGGGACTGATGAGGGGAGAGTGCCAGCGACAGGCAGAGGGAAGGACCTCTCCAGGAGAAAATCCGTGTGTCTTGAGAGTGATGAAATGACCTCCCTGACCTGCTGTGGATTCTAGGACCCCCCCCCCCATTTTCTCTGTAAGTCCAGAAATGCCCCTTAGCCACAGATACATTGAGCCCTTGAGCCCTGACAGATGCCTGAAGCCGTAAGACAGCAGAGAACCTGCTTCTTAGATTTGGGACTCCCAGAAGTACCCTGAGTCAGGCAGAAGCATAAGTCATGGGTCTGTGGAAGAAGACAGTTTGTGGTTGACCTGGACACGCCAACCCTTCCGCCAGGCACAGACACTTCCATCTTGAAGACAGGGCTGCACCCACTCTCTTCCTCTGTGAAACTGGGTGCAGGGTGGAGAAGGGCTTCCCACAGTCAGAGCAGAAAAGACCTTCTCAGGGAACCTCAGAAATGGGTGAAGAGTAACATGCTGATAATCTGGTCAGAGAGAACCAAATGCTGAAAACCAGAGAGCTTGAGCCTTGCCAACAATCTCAAGATCTCTCCCTTTGGGGCTGAATCCACCCACCCAACGGCCCCTGACACTGGGGTCTGCTGAGAAGTGCAACATGAGAGGTTGAAATGCTTAAAGAAATCAACTCTTAAAAGTCACTGGACAGTGAATATTTTTTGGTTAGTTTACTGGTGTTTGAGTCATTTGCTGAGTGAATCTGAAAGACCAAAAAAAGGAACTACCAGAAACACTCCTATCTTTGGCCTCCACAGCCTGTCAGAACTTCCTCTATAATCCTCCAACAGTGGCTGTTTTTTTTTCATGATTTTCTCAGCATTATGGCCCTAAAATTTAAAACAAAATAATAACTAAAATGATGGAAATTTACAGCCATGAAAAAACCTGCACATGCAGTTTATTAGCAACTTCATTTATAAATGTTAAAACTTGGAAGCTTGGGCTGGGATTGTGGCTCAGCGGTAGAGTACGCACTTAGCACCGGTGGGACCGGGGTTCAATCCTCAGTCTCAGCAGCACATTAAAATAAATAAATAAATAAATAAATAAATAAATAAGGCATTTTGTTGTGTCCATCTACACCTAAAAAATTAAAAACAACAACAACAACAACAAAAAAAAAAAAAAAAACTTGGAAGTAACCAAGATGCCCTGCATCCTGACGGGGGCTTTTCTTTTTTGGTGCTGGGGATCAAACTCAGAGCCTCACAACTGCACTGTCACTGAGCTCCACCCCCAGCCACACATAATAGAACGTTATTTGGCACAAGAAGACACAGAAGGGCCTTAGAAGCCATTGGTAAGGAAAGAAAGCAAGCTCCAAATGGGCAGGATTCCTAAGTGTTCACTGGCATCCCCAGCATCTAAAACACTGTCTGGCCAAAGCAGATCCTTAATATAAGAAAAAAAAAAAAGATGGAAAAGAGGCGCTTCATCTCATCCTAAGTCATGAGGAAGCAGAAAGAAACAAGGGCAGCGTTGGACATCAACTAGGGGGTGGATCTCCAGTTCACCATCAATCCAGGTGTAGACTGTCTGCCAGAATGCTCATTCCCAGGCTCATGCTTGGCTGCTTGATTAGGATGAGTGTCCTGAGGAAGAAGAAGTCATCTATATTTTAAAATAAGCCTCCTAGATGATTTATTTTTTCCCTCTCTCCCTCCTTTCCCTCCTTCATTTCTTTTTTATGGTGCTTTTTTTAAGGGCCTTACACATGCTAGGCAAGGCAGGGGCTCTACCACTGAGCTACTTCCCAGACCCTCCTGTATGGTTCCTGTATCAGCTGAAGCTGAGAACCACTTGGGATGCCTACTAAAAATGCAGATTTGTTTAAATATTCATTTTTTAGTTGGACACAATATCTTTATTTATTTATTTTTATGTGGTGCTGAGGATCAAATCCAGGGCCTCCCATCCCAGCCTGCAGATTTGTTTTTTTACACCTGAGGTGGTACAGGAGCAGCAAGGTTTGGACACCTTGAAGTTCAGCTTCTTCATCTTCTTTTTTTTTTTAAAAGATTTATTTTTTAGTTGTAGTTGGACACAATATCTTTATTTTCTTTATTTATATGTGGTGCTGTGGATGGAACCCAGGGCCTTGCACATGCCAGGCAAATGCTTTACCACTGAGCCACAACCCCAGCCCCTAACTCTGGTCTTATGGACAGTCACAGCAGAGCTAATCTCATTCAACAATGAGGCTCATTCACCTCCACATCAGCCCCAGCAGCTGTTAAATACTAACTCCATTTAGTCAAGGCCAAAGAGAAATTTCCTCCCTCTGAGGAGGCGGGGGAAGTCCAGGAACTTTTAACAGGTCTGTTTAGGGTAAGTGTTGATGAAGTCACAGAAGGTTCACTTCCCCAAACTGACGGGAATCCATTGTTTTCCGGTTTCTCTTTATGCATGACATGATTTACTAAATATATGTAACTTAAAATGAAATGACCAGATTTCAAAAGGTCAAAAACTAGAACCAGGGCAAAAACCCAGGAAAACTGGTACCTGCTCCTAATCCCATTGGAACTCAGCTACAAATTTGCCATCTGACTGTAACAGACCTTGGATATATCACCCAGCCCCTCTGGGCTCCAATTGGACTAAGTGATCTCTGTGATCTTTCCAGTTCTGATGATCTGGGGTTCCCTGAGTCCAGTTCAGTTTACAATTAGTCTGTGGTCAAAGCCTTTAATGACTTTTCTGTTGGATGAACACTGGGGAAGTCTTTGTAATTGTGAGCTTGGTGGAGAGTAATAGCACATACCTGTAATCCCAGTGGCTAGGGAGGCTGAGGCAGGAGGATCACAAGTTTGAGGGGCCATTTAGTGAGACCCTCAGCAATTTAGTGAGACCTTGTCTCAAAAAAAAAAAAAAAAAAAAAAAGACAAATCACAAAGTCAGGCATGTCTGGAATTCCATTAACCCAGGAGGCTGAGTCAGGCATGCAAGTTCAAACCAAGCCTCAGCAGTTTAGCAAGACTCTATCTCAAAATTTAAAAAAAAAAAAAAAAAAAAAAGGCGTGGGTGGGGGGTGCTGGGGATGTGACTCAGTGGAAAAGCACCCCCGGATTCAATTCCCAGTGCCAAAAGGGGTAAAATAAACTTTTCAGCAAAAAACAGTTTTCCAGAGGCTGGGGATAAAGCTGAGTTGGTAGAGTACTTGCCTCGCATGCACAAGGCTCTGGGTTCAATCCCCAGCACTAAAAAAACCAACAATAAAAACAAAACAAACAGTGTTCCACATGTTGGGATAATTAATATCCACATACAGGGGGAAAAATAACTTCAATCCATATCTCACACCAAACACAAAAAGTAACACAAAATGGATGAGACTCTAAATTGTAAAAAAACAAAACAAAACAAAACAAACAAACAAACAAAAAAAAAACCCTAACATTTATATTAGAAAATATACGAGAAAATCCTTATGACCTTTTGCAAAGCAAAGATTTCTTAGGTATGATACCAAAAAGCATGATACACAGAAGAAAAAAAATCAATAAACTGAATTACATTAAAATTAAAAACGTCTCTAACCCGGTGCAGGGTAGCACACCTGTAATCTCGGCCACTTGGAGGCTGAGGCAGTAGAACCGCAAGTTTAAGGCCAGCCTGGACAATTTAGACCCTATGTCAAAAAATTGACATACACACAAACTTTGGGAGTAAAACACCCGCGTATAGGTTCTGGGCTTAAGAATCCAACTGTTGTCTCTCCCTCTCCTCCAAGGTTTTTGATGATCGGGGCTCTGATACAAAGAGGGTTTTGAGGAATGCGGGGCAACTTCAGGGCGCCCTAACTTTCCACACCCTGCCCGCTGACTTTCCGAACTTCAGGGATCCCAGCGACCTCTAACGTCTCAGTACGCCTTCTTGACCCGCCTTCTAGCGATGCATCAGGATCATGCGCGCGCACGCTCAGTAGGACTACATCTCCCAGGAGGCTCTGCGTCTCACGGGTCGGATAGGAAGCCCTTGAGAGCGGAAGACTACATTACCCAGTGACTCCTTGCGGGAGGCGCTGGCTGAGTCTCAAACGAACAACCATTGGTCCAGCCTCTGCCGGGCGCTGCGCGGTGATTGGCCTAGAGGCCCGTCAGTTTGTTCCAAGCGCTTTACAGTTTTGCTGTTAGACTCCGTGAGCCGGGCGGGAGTGCAGAGCGCGGGGAGTCTGGCAGCGCCCGCTGAGTAGGTGAGTGACCTCTACCACCTCCCTCCTCGCGGTCCTGTCGCGGACCTGCACACTCGGTCTCCCGGGCGGACCGCGGGCAGCACACACAAGCTGGTACTCACGCGGAGGCGGGGACTGGGACTGTACTCAAGGGCACACCTGATTCTAGAGGCATCTTCAGGGGACGCTGGAGGTAAAACTCCGTACCCCTCCTCCCCCGCACTTGCGCACGCGGATCCCACACGGAAGGCGATCTCTCTGACTTGGGGAAACAAGACACCTTGAGGCACACCTGGACACTGGTATCCCACGTGGGGGACCTCTGCAGAGTCCCTCAGCTGAGCACATGAGCGCCCAGGCACTCACCACGGTCACCTGTGTACTGGAGTACTGGGGTCTTCCACGGAAAAGAAGCAGGCAGCTGTCACAATCCCACCCCACCCACTCTGCCACGCTCACCAGCAGTCTCCGGTCTCTGGGTGCTACCTTATATCATGCATATTAATCATGTTTTTGTTCTTGGTTTTTGATACTGGGCATTTAACTCAGGTGTACTTTACCGCTGAGCTACATCCCCAGTCCTTTTTATTTTTTGAGACAGTTTCTCACTAAGTTGCCCAGGCTGTCCTCTTGCCTCAGCTTCCTGAGTTACTGGGATTACAGGCTTGCACCACCTTGCCCAATGATAGCTCTAATTTCTTGAGCTCAGGTCTATATTATATCCAGCTATACAGAACTGCTTATTAATAAAAATCTCCACACACCCCAGCCTTCCCATCACCTTTCACTGTGCTTGTGAATCATGCAGTTATATCCTGAGCTTCCGGAGGAAAGAGCCTGATATCCTCCTGGTGACTCCTGAGACTAAGCCAGGACACCTGTCACTTGGGCTTACCCCTGATTCTCTCCAAGAATGCAGGAAACTGATACTGTTCCGGGTGACCTGAGCAGTCCCAGGGAAATACTGGGAGAGGTTTAACCATTAGGTCAGGTCACCTGCCTCTCACAGGTGCCTGGGAGGGGGTCCAGGGTGGGTGACAGGAGAAAAAAAATCAATGATGGGTTAGGGAAGTGGAGGGTCACTATGTACAGCAGTGACCTCCCCATTACTACAAGTATTCAAGAACTAGGTTAATTCTGAAGCCCATTCTCAAGTCATTACATATTTAGTTTTAGTTTAGTTTTGTTTTAATGCCAAATTAAAACAATATAGAACTACAAAGAGAGAGAGAGAGGTATCTTCCTTCTGCCCTTCTCCCAGGGCTAATTTACCAACCACCTGTCCTATATGTGCATTGTTACAGATTTTGTTTCTATATTTTATGCAACTATATGGAGCGGATTTAGATCTTGTTGCTTTTCTTTAATAAAAAAAAACATATTTCAGGCATACTATACTGAAACCTGTTTTGTTTTTGGTACTGGGGATTGAACTCAGGGGCGCTCCACCACTGAGCCACACCCCAGCTCCTCTTATTTATTTATTTATTTATTTATTTAGAGGGGTAACAGGGAATGAACTCAAGGGCACTCAACTACTGAGCCACATCCCCAGCCATATTTTGTATTTTATTTAGAGACAGGGTCTCACTGAGTTGCTGAGCTGGCTTTGAATTTGTTATCCTCCTGTCTCAGCTTCTCGAGCTGCTAGGATTACAGGTGTGTGCCACCGTGCCCAACTGGATGTAATCTTTTAAATATTTCAGTTACCAACTTTAATCTCCCACACAGCATCCTCCCCAGCCCTTTTAATTTTTTATTTTGAGACAGGGTCTAGTTCAGTTGCTGAGGGCCTTGCTAAGTTGCTGAGACTGGCCTGGGACTTACCATCCTCATACCTTAGCCTCCTGAGTCACTGGGACTATAGGCATGCACCACCACACCTGGTTTGGTGAAATTCTTATAACAACATAAAAATATGCTTATGACATTTACATTCTGTAAGCCAGAATATGGAGACAAAACCCCAAAAAGGAATATATGAAGTTAAAAATATTAAGATGGCAGGTTCTTTTTCTATTATCTCTTCTAAACTTTCTGTAAAGTTATAACTTCCATAATCTACAAATTCTTTGGGTTTGTTGGTTTTTTCAGACCTCTGCTAATCTCTGTGGTTCCAATATTAGTATATATGCTGCTGAAACAAGCAGTAGAAATTCTTTGGTTTTTAATCATTTATTCACTGACAGTTTTCTTTTTTTTTTTAATTTTATTTTTTTTATTGGTTGTTCACAACATTACAAAGCTCTTGACATATCATATTTCATACATTAGATTGAAGTGGGTTATGAACTCCCAATTTTACCCCAAATGCAGATTGCAGAATCACGTCACTGACAGTTTTCTAAGCCTTTGCTGTGTGCCAGGCACTGTGCTGGTCTCGGGGATGTAGATGTAGATACGTGGCTGGGTCTTGCCTCTGTGGGTCCTCCTTTCTGTGGGCAGAGGTGGAGAACACATACTAGCAGTTGCTGGTGCTAGAAGAAAACAATGGCATCTCCAGGAGGGGATGCTCTGTAGTTAGAGCTGGTGGACCAGAGGAGCTGCCCTAGGGAAGAGAAGGGGCTGGGAGTGGGGCTGCCATTCGGACACTAGGAATTGTGCCAAGAGGTAAGGCTTGCAGTTAGGTGTCCCCGCAGCATTTTGTGGAAACTGGTCAGAAGCACTGAGACCTCTCTGGTTAGGTACAGAAGGGAAAATGGTCTGGGGTGAGGCTGAAGGGGTCAGTAGGTCTGGCCCAGGTGGGGCTGGAACATTGTTTCATAGCATAGTACAGCTCCACTGTGCCGGGTGGGTCTAAGGTGTGTGTAAAGAATGGGAAACAGCCAGGTGTAGTGGCGCACACCTGTAATCCCAGTGGCTCAGGAAGCTAAGGCAAGAGGATCACTAGTTCAAAGCCAGCCTCAGCAACAGTGAGGCGCTAAGCAACTCAGTGAGACCCTGTGTCTAATAAAATACAAAATAGGGCTGGGGATGTGGCTCAGTGGTCCAGTGCCCCTGAGTTCAATCCCTGGTACCACCCAGGGGGTGGGGGGAAAGAATGGAAGGCAGAGTGAGCCATTTACCTCAGTGGTAGAGCACTTTTCTGGCACATGTGACCCTGGGTTCAATCCCTAGCATTGAAAAAATTGTAAAAAAAAAAAAAAAAAAAGAAGAAGAAGGGAAATGCCAAGGGGCTCAGAGGTCACTTGGCTTCTCCTTTGGATAATGGGGTGCTTGTAGATAATCCTTGGTCTCTGACACCATATGACTGACAGCCTCCCTGGGGGGGGGGCACATTACCTCAGGCAGGGTTTACCATTTAGCTGTCAGAGGTCATTGGAAAACCACCTGATCTCTGGACATGAATGATTTCTTATCAAGCCAGTTCATTCATTCAGTCCCCAGATATTGAGCACTTACTATGATGGGCTCTATTCTAGTGCTGGAAGGGCAGGGGTGAACAGATGAGATGATGGGTTTTGCCTGGGGAGGGGACAAGAAACAAATGTACAGTTATCAATATCTCATAAGGCTTCAAAGAAAAAGACTGGTGCTATTTTAGAAGGGTTGGGCAGGGAGGGCTGCTTTGAGGAGGTGATGTTTGAAAGACCTTAAGAAACTTTCCTTCATATTTACTCCTTGTTTCTTGCACATAGCTTGATACTGATGGACGTTGGATGGACCAGAAGCAGGGATGGTGGGCTATGACCCCAAAGAAGATGGTAGGAGTAACTCCAAGTCTGAGGTGGCAGTGGCAGGGTCTGTGTCTGGACTTATCACTCGGGCACTGATCAGCCCGTTGGATGTCATCAAGATCCGTTTCCAGGTACCCTTTCCCCTTTTGCCTTGTGAGGGATTGGAAGATAAATTCAGTTTTTCTTGCAAAAGCAGTTTCTAAAACACAGTTTTGTCAAGGTGAAGTGATTTGTTGCCCTCAAACTTTTATGAAATTTCCCCTTCTCACCCCACCCCCTCCGCCACCATCCTGACCTGTTCACTTTTGATCCCCAGCTTCAGATTGAGCGCCTGTCTCGCAGTGACCCCAATGCAAAATACTATGGGATCCTACAGGCTGGGAGGCAGATTTTGCAGGAAGAAGGCCCAGCAGCATTCTGGAAAGGACACATCCCAGCCCAACTTCTGTCCATTGGCTATGGAGCTGTCCAAGTAGGTGGCAAGGACCTGACCAGGCCCCTGGGGTCATGTTGCTCAGTGGAGGAGCAGAGGGAGGGTGAAGAGAGGCAGCTCCCATGCTACTCGCTTGAGGAATGTGACATCAGACTGAACCATACCTTGGCATTCCCTTCTCTATATCCCCAGGTCCATCTCAGTGACAAGTGTTGTACCTAGGAGACTGACATTCTACCCCAGGCAGCTTGGCAAAGGGTGATACTGATGCCTTTCATTTTTCAAAATACCATCATCGCGCGTGTGCTTCATTTGAATTTCACAGGGGCATTGAGAGGAAGGTAGAGAGGTGTTGTGTGGACCACAGGGAGGTTACGTGAGCTGACGAGGCCATGTGGCCTACCCATGGTGGGCTTGGAGTAGAACCCAGGCTTCTTGACTTCTGGTCATTTGTTCCTTCAGCTGATGTCAGTTTGTGTCATGGCATACAGTATGTAGTTGTATGGTGGTTGTGGTGGTAATGGGCAGCCCTTGCAATCTGTGGGCCTGGCCCCTATTTTAAGCATTTATATATACTATCTCATAGCTTTCCTGTGAGGCAGGATCTGATGTCACTCCTAGTTTTCATATGAGAAGACTGAGACTGAGACAGAGCTTTCTTAATCCAACCAAAGTCACTCATGAGAAAGTGGCAGAGATAGGGCTAGAGATCTAGCTCAGTTTAGAGTGCTTGCCTCACATGTACAAGGTCCTGGGTTCAATCCTCAGCACCACAAAACAAAACAAAAAAACAGAGGTGGCAGAGATAGGATCCCCACCCAGGCAGTCAGTGCCAGAGTAATCCCTGCCTCCTCTTTGAATGACATCATAGTCCTGGCTCAAGTCTGGTGCTTACCGGGCTGACACGTGCCCTGTCATTCCATCTCCCCAGCTGGTACACAAGGAGGCATTGCAGTGTGGTGAATGAAGACTGCGCCCTGATGACATAGGGAAGCTGAAGTGGCTGGGGGAAGATCTGAGTGTGAAACACTCTTCTGATAACAGTCTGAGGAGAGTGGTTCTCAGACATTGCTGGTGCCAGCTGTTAGGGGGTCCTCTGCCAAGAATCACATGATGGCCATCTTTCCTAGTTGTCAGAAAACTAAGTGAACAAGTGGAGTTTTCTGATATAAAATTTTCTCCCTGTTGTGTGTGTGTGTGTGTGTGTGTGTGTGAGAGAGAGAGAGAGAGAGAGAGTTGGTTGATGGGATAGAACCCAGGGCCTCACACGTGCTAGGCRAGGCTCTAATGCTGAGCTACACCCCCAGCTATCTCTGAATGCTTTCTTCTTCTTTTCTTTTTTTTAATATTTATTGTTTAGCTATAGGTGGACACAATGTCTTTATTTTATTTTTATGTGGTGCTGAGGATTGAACCCAGTGCCTCATGCATACGAGGCGGGTGCTCTACCTCTTGAGCCACAACCCCAGCCCCTCTGTCTGCTTTCTTAATTCTTTGGTGTCTGACTCTACTTTAATGATTTATGAGTTTGTTTTTCTTTTTTACATGCACTGTGCTTAGAGATAAGGCATTTGAGTAAGTATTTCTTGTGTTTGGTCACTGCTCAAGGAGTGTATTTCCTCAGCCCTTTCCCCCTCTCTGGGGAAAGGGAAGCACTTGCCTGGCATGTGTGAGGCACTGGGTTTGATCCTTAGCACCACATTAAAAAATAAATAAAATAAAGGCATGTTGTCCATCTACAACTACAAAAAAAAAAAATGCTTCCCCAAAATGCTTCCCAATATACCACCTGCCACCCCTCCCTGGGGTGTATATTGGGAAGCATTTGGTCTGAACCCTCACTCATCTTTTGGGCCATCAGTGATTTTCACTCTTTCTTGCAGTTTTTGTCCTTTGAGCTGTTGACTGAGCTGGTCCACAGAGCCAGCCTGTACGAAGCCCGTGAATTCTCCGTGCACTTTGTGTGTGGCGGTCTGTCTGCCTGTGCAGCCACCCTCACCGTGCACCCTGTGGATGTTCTGCGCACCCGCTTTGCAGCTCAGGGTGAGCCCAGGGTAAGTGGCCAGGGCCAGGCATGGACCTGGATGAGGAAGATGATGCAAAAGTTGGGGGTTTTGATTTTGGAGGAGGCCGAACTGGGGCAAACCTGGGTTCTCAGTGCAGTGGCCAATTTGTCAAATCTGTAACTGGTCAGCACCATGCAGATGCTCCATGTCCTGAAGGAATCCTCATGGATTCCCTGGGGAGACAGAAACTAGGGATGTGAAACAGAACAAATATGTGTCCAGTAGTGGGTTGGATGAAGATAGGCATCTGGAAAAGTAGGACTTGAAAACTTCTGCGTCTATTATTGTAAGGGTCTCCTTTGTTTCCACAAAGAATGGGTTGGAGGGAATGGGGTAGTTGAGTCAAGCTCAAGGAAGGACTTGCTGAGACAGACCAGGGGGTTAAACCCTGAAATAGTTTCTAGCATAATGTCTCTTTCCTGGTCATATTTAAGAATAGCTCTGTGTGTTGGGGCTAGGGTTGTGGCTCAGTGGTACAGCACTCGCCTAGCTTGTGTGAGGCTCTGGGTTCCATCCTCAGCACCACATAAAAGTAAATAAAATAAAGATATTGTGTCCATCTACACCTAAAATATTTATATTAAAAAAAATAGCTCTCTGTGTGTGTGTTGTACTCAACAAAGAAAGAATTTCCCACTGTCTCCCTTCTGCATCAGGGCACCACTGAGGGATTGAAGAAAAAAATAAGTAGTGACAGTGCCTAGTTCCTCTCCTGGCACTTTCTGACTTTTTATAAAAGTCCATGAGGCCATGTGCTGTGGCACACACCTGTAATCCCAGTGACTCAGGACATGGAGACGGGAAGATTGCAAGTTCGAGGCCACCTTCAGCAACTCAGTAAGACCCTGTTTCAAAATAAAGAATAAAAAGAGCCGGGTATGTAGCTCAGTGTAGTGTACCTGGGTTTATTCCCCAGTACTAGACACACACACACACACACACACACACACACACACACAGAGTCTATGAGAAGGGAAAAGTGGAGAGTGTATTAGGAGAATACCATTTTACCTCTACTAAATAAAAATTGCAGGAGGCCATTGTTTTGGATTAAGTTTCTGCCCAGGGCCCCAACAGACCAGACTAAAAATATAAGTGGAGTCACTCACATTGAAGTTCTAAGTCATGAAGCTGAAACTAAGCATATTATTGACCTTACAAGAAATCAGGATTAGAGAGAGAACAGCGAAAGTTTCCAAACAGGCCAGCTTCAGTTAGTRGGATAATGAAGTTCCTTCTACCTAATTGTATTATTATTTTTAAAAATATTTTTTAGTTGTAAACGGATCTTTTATTTCATTTGTTTATTTATATGCGGTGCTGAGGATCAAACCCAGTGCCTCACACATGCCAGGCAAGTGATCTAGCACTGAGCCACAATCCCAGCCCCTCTACCTAATCTTTTTTTTTTTTTTTTTTTTTTTGAGGAATGTGAATGAAAAATTTATTTGCTCATTTCTTGCATTTGAAGTACTCTTCGATGACATCCTTGGCCTGAGATTCTTTGCCATAATCCTTAACAACTACACAACTGCCACCAACCACTTTACGGGGCTGCCCTCTCGGTCAGTTTTACAGAGGCCTACTCATTCTCCTAGTTTCTTGTTGTCATGGACCTTAATTAGATTGAACTGGTGTTCAGCACAAAGGGCCTCCACCAATTTGACAGACATAGGCTCATTACAGTTGGAGGCAAGTCCACAGAGATGGGCCTGGCGCACAATTCCTCAAAGTCAGATGCTTCTGCGACAGACACCAGCTTCGTGTTTCATTCACTTAGCACAATGCTTGATCTGCTAGAATCAGGTTCAGCATCCTCAAAACGAGAATAGAGCCACAACCTACAGGTTTGTCAGACTGTAATGTTTTCACCCATGAAATCTACCTAATCTTTTGATCAAAAAGTTAATGTAGTGGTGCTGGGGTTGTGCTCAGTGGTTCGAACGCTTGCCTAGCACATGTGAGGCACTGGGTTTGATCCCCAGCACCACATAAAGAAAATAAACAAAATAAAGGTATTGTATCCATCTACAATTAAAAATATTTTTAAAAAAAAGTTGATGTAGGGGCTGGGTCTATAGCTCAGTGGCAGAGCACTTGCCTGGCATGTGTGAGGCACTGGGTTTGATCCTTAGCACCACATAAAAAAATAAATAAAATAAAGGCATGTTGTCCATCTACAACTATAAAAAAAATTTTTTTTAAGTTAAATGTAAAGTGACATGATGTTAGCCAGTTGTTTTTCTATTGTTTTGTCTCCTATCCCCACCTTCCAAGGAAAGTACCTTGAAATGACCCATCCAGTCTGACTTTTGTTTCTGCATTCTTCAGAAAAGCAGAGTGGGAACTCCAGGCAGCATCTTTGCAGTTGCTAGTGGACTTCCCTTAGAGCTTGACACTTTCACAGAGCTCCCCAGGGTGGAATCCTTCAGCGTGACCACCAGCAATTTTGGAGCCACTCAGTGAGAGGGGCAAGTCTTCCCTCAGCCCCCACTTTCAACAAGATGCCATGCCATACCCCAGCTTGGCTGAGTCAGAGCCCCTCAGGCCACTTCAAATATCCTGGGGGTGCAGGGGGGAGACCAGGAATTGAACCCAGACAGGCTTAACCACTGAGCCACATCCCAGCCCTTTTTATTTTTTGTTTTGAGACAGGGTCTTGCTAAGTTGCTGAGGCTGGCTTTGAACCTATGATCTCCTGCCTCAGCTTCCTGAGTTTACTCCCTTACTGGGATTATAGGCATGCACCACCATGCCCAGCTCAAATATGTCTTAATAGAAAGGAACTAAGAAGCAAATGAACTGTAGTTTTTCTGCATAGATATCACACTTTACCTATGGGAAACAGCATAAAATGGTATTTGGGAAACGTTCTTCTTCCCCTGGCCCCTAGAGACACTGCACAGCTTCCTTCCCTCCGTGGAGGCAGTTGCTGTTCCTGGCTTTTGTATATCCTTGGGGATTGGGGGAGCATAATCTCTGTATATAGTTCATTTCCCTACAAATTCTGCCCCATTCTTGTGCATCCTGCTGTGTTTGATTATCTGTTGGGGGATTATTCCACATCAATCATGTGGATCTCCTCAACCTGTTTTTTTGGTTGTTGGTTTTGGGATTGGGATTTGAACCCAGGGCACTTTACCACTGAGCCACATCTGTAGCCCTTTTTATTTATTTACTTACTTATTTTTGAGACAGGTCTTCAGCATATTGATAAGTTGCTTAGGACYTYACTAAATTGCTGAGGCTGGCTTTAAACTTGGGATCCTCATGCCTTAGCCTCCTGAGTTGCTGGGATTACAGGCATGTGCCATTTTGCCCGGCTTATCATCCTGTTTTTTTTTTTGTTTGTTTGTTTTTAAAATTTTTTTTCTTTAGTCGTCAGTGGACCTTTATTTTTTTTACTTATATGTGGTGCTGAGAATCCAACCCAGTGCCTCATACATGCGAGGCAAGTGTTCCACCACTGAGCTACAGTCCCAGCCCCTCATTATCCTGCTGCACTGTGTTCTCTTGAACCAGTGGATCATTATTTATGTAATCATCACCCACAGACGAACACTACTTTTTGCTGTTCTGCAGGATGCTCTGGTGTGGCCCTTTGGACATGTGCTTTTGTGCACACATGTGGATATAACAGTCACATAAATTTTTAGAAAAGGAGTTGCTAGAAAACTCTACCCCTGGCTCTTTGTCCAGAGTTTTCCTGGAGTTGGGCTGGGGATGTGGTAGAGTGCTTGCCTAGCATGCATGATGCCCTGGGTTCAATTCCTAGTACCATACACACACACACAAAAACAAAAACAAAAACAACTTTACTCCAGGGTTTTCCTGGACTGTCCTCTTGGCAGGAAAAATTATGCTCCTGGGGGCAGGATCTTTAGAATAAGGGGGAGAGAGATGATGAGCTTGGTTGTAGGGCAAAAAATAACCCACTGAACTTGCTCAAATTGCATCTGTGCTGTTCAGGTCTACAAGACTTTACAAGATGCTGTGGTGACCATGTATAGAACTGAGGGACCCTTGGTCTTCTACAAAGGATTGACCCCCACCTTGATCGCCATCTTCCCATATGCTGGGTTACAGTTCTCTTGTTACAGCTCCTTGAAGCACGTCTATGAGTGGGTCATGCCGGCTGATAGAAAGCACAGCGGTGAGACATTCCACAAGTGAATCGCCCTAGCCCAGCCTGCACCATGTGTCTCTTTCTGAATCAAAAAGGAAATAGTTTTCTCATCAGAAGCTAAGGCACCCCTGTTTCCTGTACTGGGCTATATAGTGTAGCCAACAAAATGAGTAAACCCAGCAGCTTAGAAACAACTTTATTTCTTCTATCTCTTGCCACACCAATCATGGCATCAATGAGATTTATTTCTAGTGATCAGTCCTGGTTCCCGCCCCCCCCTTTTTTTTGGTACCCAGGAGTGCTTTACCATACCTGCCCAGTCCTTTTTATTTTTTTGAACCCAGGGGCACTCAACCACTGAGCCACATCCCCAGCCCTATTTTGTATTTTATTTAGAGACAGGGTCTCACTGAGTTGCTTAGCACCTCACCATTACTAAGGCTGGCTTGGAACTCGAGATCCTGCCGTCTTAGCCTCCAGAGCCACCGGGATCACAGGCGTGTTCCACCATGCCCAGCCTATTATTTTTATTTTGAGGCAGGGTCTCACTAAGTTTCTGAAGGTCTCAATGAATTGCTTAGTCTGAGTGACTCTGTTGCCTCAGCCTCCAGAGTTGCTGGTATTACAGGCATGTGCTGCCACTGCACCCGGCCTGAATTTTTTGTTTTGAATCCAAGTTACAAATTCACTTTTTGTTGTTGTTTTCTGGAAGGGACATTCTGTTCTCTCTACAGCCTGGAACCATGTCCCATTGCCTAGCCTACTGTCCTTTATAGCCTCCAGTGGGAGACTGCTACATAAAGGCTCACGCCCTGCTGGCCTTGCCTGTCCAGCCTGCAGTCTGTTAGCATTCTTGTTGAGAGTGACTCTTTCTAGTTTTGGCTCCTAGATTAAATTCCCTTTGGCATCCAAGGATGCTTGTGAGGCCTGGGTTTGTGGTGAAGATTAGACCTGATGGCATTTAAGTTTCCACCAGGGATTGCACTTCTCTTCACCTCTCCCCTCAATCTCATTTCTCTCGTGCAGAGAACCTCAAAAACCTGCTTTGTGGCTGTGGAGCCGGAGTCATCAGTAAGACCCTCACCTATCCCCTGGACCTCTTCAAGAAACGGCTGCAGGTTGGAGGGTTTGAGCAGGCCCGAGTTACCTTTGGACAGGTGAGCTGTCCCTGTGCAGAAAGCTGTGACTCTAGCACTCACATGAAGAAGCCAGAATTCAACTCCTGCCCATTGGGCAGCACTGGTCCCTCTACCCCCAGCCTGACCCCTGTAGTTTAATTTCTTTGCATAAATAAACACACATATACTTTTCAACAAAATGGGGTCATACACTGAATGTAAGGTTTTGTAACCTATTTCCATTAACCAACCTGTCTTGTAGAGACTGTTTGAATTTGGAATGGGAGAGGTGGAAGAGCCCAGGACAGAGGAGGAAGGTCTTACTCCTTACAGAGACTATTCTGTTTTGGCCATAATTGGGGGATGGCTCTTGGGAGGACCAGTGGGAACCAAGGTCAGGGAGGGAAGCCAGCCTCAGAGCTTGGACTTGACTCTTTATGATGTTGAAAGGGAGGGCTGTCCTGCCTTGAGGAAACAGATCTAGCAGCAGTTTGTGGTGTGAACTAGAGGCAAAGAGATCAGGCTGGAGGGGTGGCACTGGTCAGGCTAAGAGCTAGCAAGGGCCAGATTTAGATTTGTAGCCCAAGGAGAACCAGGTGGAATGGGGTGAAGGATTTGAGACACCTCTTAGTAGAGGGTCCAGAACTGTCAGTGGATCCCCAGAGCCACAGTCAGCCCGTGCCTCCTCTGCAGGAAGGAGCTCTGTCCAGCTGCTGGCTTCAGGCACTTCATCTGTGAAGTCTCACTTAGCCTACTTGGAGTGGAAAGAATGAGAGTAACTTACTTGCTGTTTTTGCTTTCATTCCTTCATCTGGCAAGCATTTATTGGGAACATGATGTCCTAGGTGCATCTCTGTTTTACTCACTTCATCTCTGCTCAACCTGAACCTTTCTCTCCCCAGGTGCGGAGATACAGGGGCCTCTTGGATTGCACCAAGCAGATGCTGCAAGAGGAAGGTGCCCAAGGCTTCTTCAAGGGCCTGTCCCCCAGCCTGCTGAAGGCTGCCCTCTCCACAGGGTTAGTGTTCTTCTGGTATGAGCTTGTCTGTAACTTCTTCCACTGCCTGAAAAGGACGGACAGCTAGCTGTGGAGGCAGGAAGAGACTGAGGTCTTTACTGGAGGGCACCTCCTGAGAGAAGCAAAACCTGATCTCATGTGGCACTGAAGGCTATTGTCCCACCTGCCCTCCTGGCCAGCCTTCCCAAGCATGAACAGTCACTGGGAGCAGGGTGGCAACCCTGACCCATCCGGATGGGATACTATCAGAAGGGCCATGACTTTCTCCATGATGGAACACAGGTCTGGGGCTGTGGGAYGAGCAACACCGGTGAGAAGGAGCTGCCACTTGTTTCTTCTCAGTGCAGCCCAGAAACAAAGGAATCAGACACTACCTTCCAACTCATGGCTGCATCCATTGGGGAACTCTTGCTTCTGGAAGGCTGCAGCTTGAGTGCAGAGAGCAAGGAATGGGCTCTTTGTAGGAGTTTGGTCCCCATCCTTGGGCTATTTTCCCCAACAACTTTTTTAATAGACATTAAAGCAAAAAAGCACATTCCTTACCTTGCTCCTCCACCTTCCCTTACAAACTGCATCTTTGCTCACCCAGGATAAGGGAAGGGACTCTAACTTTCTCAAATTCCACTTTATCAGTTACAGCTGCTCTTAATAAATCTAAGGATAAAGTTCCAGGTGAGTCAGTCATTTTCAAAGCCTCCAGACCTAGACTTTATGTCTACAAAGGCACTAGCACCAGACCATGCTCTCCCAACAAGGCACTGGCTTCCAGGGAAGACATACCAGTGACCCTACAGGAAGTGGAGGGAATGTGCTGATGGACAAGATCTGGTAAAGGCACAGCCCTTCCCCCACTCTACCTTGGTTGGCTCCCCTTTCGCAGGCCCTGGGTCAGCCTTGTTGGGTGAGAAGCCTACAGCCAGGCCAGCTGGCATCAGGGCCTGCTCAGGATGTTCCTTCTCAGCTCAGCACAGCACTGTGTGTGTGTCCTCTGGAGCCCCAGAAGGGTCATGGCCTCAAAGCTGTCCAGTGAGCAGAAGGGGATGGAAGGGGCTGGGCAGACAGCCTGATGATGGCACAGTTGGCACTCAGGGAAGTTACCAGAGCCCAGGTACCCACAGAGGTGTGTGTCTAGATGTGGAGGAAGAACTTCAGTTACAGGGGTATGACTGCCACCCTTTCCATCTGCCAGCTCTGCTGTGGGTTAGGCTCTGAGGAGGGAGGAGCAGCACCTTCACCTTGGCCTCACTTGGTACTCAGGCTATGATGCTCCAGCCCCTGCACCAAATTGGAGAGACACCTTCAGGGAGTGGCCATAGTTTGAGGGTGCTGGGGCCTTCCCGGGTACCTTGTGATCCCTGAGTTCTTTCTCACCATCATGCTTCTTTCCTTGGACCTGGCTCTTTGTGGTCTGTTCAGACCTTCTGCTGATGAAGGTCCAGGCTACCAATTCCTCCAAGGCCTGGGCCTGCTGCAGGCAGCTGCATCATTGTATTTAATGAAATTCCACTGGAGTAAAGTTTATGCTCATCTCTCCTGCTCACAAGAGAATTTTTGCTGCAGCTGAGAATTCTCCATTTCCAGAGAGACTTTGGCAACACTCTTGACCGGGCTGTGGGGGGTGGGGCTGCAACTACGAAGCTCACCCAGTCCCTGCCAAGAAAGGCCAAGAGCACAGAGACATGGGCCGCATGTTGCCAATTGGGACCCTTCCCTTCGACTGCCCCTTTGACTTGAAACTTATTTTGTTAGTTTCGTTGGAGTAGGAGAGGGAGTTGGTAGGGTTTGACCCAGCTCTTACACCTGCCCTCCGCCTTCTCTACCTTGGTGGGTAGAAAAGGGGACACTGCGCGACCCTGGAAGACGCTGCTCCTGGGCCAAGCCACGCCCTCAACGGACTCCTCCCACCCGCACAGCTGGTTGGAGTCTCTTGAGCCAGTCCACCTGAGTCCCACGAGGGTCAGAATGACAGGGTTGAGGTGGGGACGCCACCACTCCAGTCCGAGGACTTCGTGCATATGGAGGAGCAGGTTCGGCCCCCTGAACAGGGCCGCAGCGCACCGGCTGGGGAGAGGCGAGGCAGGGTGAGCTCTCCGGGCGCGACGGAGGCAGCTTGGCAGACATCCCGCGCAGCCCCGCCGGGGATCCGGCCGCGGTGGTGCGGGGACCGGCAGGTGGCGCTGGCGAGCCGCTTCGCACCGCGCCGGGAGATGAGCTCAGCGGCGGCCGCGCAGCACTTAGGACGGGCGCGCGCTCCGTGGCCGCCGGAGTCCCCGGGCACGCGGGCGCGGCGCCGGCCCGGCAGGTGGGTCTCGGGGTCACGCAGCCGTTCCCGCTCGCGGGACACCGCAWGGCGGGCTCCGCCGCCCGCCCTGCGCGGCGCTGAAGGGCACTGCGGGCTGGGGGAGGCTGCCGACGTCTGCAGACTCCCAAGGTCGTTTCCTCTGGCCAGAGGGGAGGCACAGAGTCCAGAGAGGGACGCCTCATTCCGCTCCCGCTCTAAGAAGGATCCGGATTGCAGCACAGAAATAGGAGTCCCGATGGGTAGGGCCAGGTTTCTGCCACTCGGGAGGCCAGCTTAACCAGTCGGTTCCTGGCGGAAGCTGGCCGGGACAGTGGGAGCTCGGGCTCCGAGTGGCAGGGGCGGCCGACGAGGATCCTGCACCCACCCAGGCGGTTGACGCCTGCGGGTGGGTTTTGAGGACAGGACGACCCTGGTGAAAGCTGAGGGAGAAGGTTGGGAGAGGGCCTTGGATCCCGCTGTGCGGAGCCGGCTGTAGCTCAGAGCCCTCATTCTGGTCAGTGGCAATGGAGCTGAGCCAGCAGCCAGCAGGCCGGTTTATATGGGCAAGTCTAGCCTCCACCTACCCACGCCCCCAGCTCAGCGAACCCTTCCCCCAAATCTTCCCTGATATCGACTGAGAACAACCTGCCTCCTGCTGGGACTGGAGGGTAGGTGCATTCACCCTTCATCTCTCCTCTTGGGTAATAATCCCAGAAGCCTAGGGTTTCCTAAACTGAGCAGCAGGTGCTTGGCTGGTGCCCAGTCTCCCGCCAGAAGCAGGCTTGGCGGGCTCTCAAGTCAACCACTGAGTGCCATGGACCGCTCAGTTGCACCTGTCCCAAGCACTGTTTGACCCGCCCAGGGCTGGAAGGATTAGGAACCCTGGGCTCGGGTCTCCACGCCTGAGTCCTCTCCCTATGCCTCTTCTCTCAGGTGCTGTCATTAATCCCAGACCATTAAAGAGCTGCTGGATCTGAATGGTCATGGGGGAGGCCAGTAGAGAGGAGTATAAAATCCAATCTTTTGATGCCGAGACCCAACAGCTTCTGAAGACAGCACTCAAAGGTGAGCACCTGAGCTGGGGCAGGAGCTGCAGAGAAGGGGCTGATCCCTAAGGCCAGGGAATGTTCATCCCTCTCCCTTCACTTTCTGAGGAGTCACAATCTAACTCTTGAACTGGAAGATAAGCTACAATAAGGCTGATATTTGGGAGAATGGTTCAGAACCCTCTCTCAGACTGTAAAGCTTTATTTATTCATTTATTTATTTTGAAATACCCATGAAAGAGGAGAGCAGTTCCTGTCTTTTAATCCTTTGTATTTGATTTGCTGGGTTCTGCATTGCTGAAGCCCACTCTTGGTTATATGGGGCTACCTGACTTGGATAGAGGATGGAAAACATTGATTTGCAGAGGAGATAATTACTGTGTCCCAAAGCTTTCCTTCTATAGCAATCAGTACAAAATGGTGACCCATCTTCCAATTAGCAGTGCCCATCACATGCCAGGCTAAGCCTGTGGAAAAGCCCTGCATACCTACTTATCAGGAGCTGTGTGTGAATCATAGAACTTCCCCCCACCCCCAGTACTGATTAACCCAAGGGCACCCTACCATTGAGCTACATCCCCAGCCCTATTCTTAGATTTTAAGACAGGTGCTAAGTTGCCCAGGATCAAACGTATGATCCTCCTGCCTTACCTCTGAGTAGCTGGGATTACAGGTGTGCATCACTGCTACATCTGGCTAAAAGAAAATTTCTTCTGTGAAATTGATGTAGACAGCTTAGTATAGTGTTCCTTTCTCAACCTAGTGCCATGAAGACATGTGTCCTAAGAAATTTTTGCTTTGTTTGGCCTCTACCAGCCACGTAACTCCCTGTTTTCTCTCTTTGGGCAACCAGGGTTCTTATAGCTGGAGCTGCTTCTATGAGTGGTTACTTACCCCCTTCTGTAGGTATTCTCCTTTGTGGTGCTTGGGGTCAAAGCTAAGGCCTTATGCATACTAGGGAAGTTCTATATAACTGAGCTTCCCCTCAGCCTCTTCTTCATCTCTCTAAATTTAAGCATATAATGTGAATACCCTAAATATCTCAAATTCCTCTTGGGAGCAGATGGAGGCAAATGTGATCAGCAGGCAGCTCTAGACTCCCCTCCTATCTTTACCTAGATCCAGGCGCTGTGGACTTGGAGAAAGTGGCCAATGTGATTGTGGACCATTCTCTGCAGGACTGTGTGTTCAGCAAGGAAGCAGGACGCATGTGCTACGCCATCATTCAGGTTGGGGGGTTGGCAGAGGAAAGGGAGCTGCTTTGAGGAAGACTACTCAGTAGTGGGAAGAGGTTGCCAGCAGGACAGAGATACGAAGAGCGTTAGCTCAATGGCAGGGAGAAGTATAGGATAGGTGGGGTGACCACATCACTACCCCTGCCCTTCACCAGCCTCTCCCTGGCTCACAGGCAGAGAGTAAACAAGCAGGCCAGAGTGTCTTCCGTCGTGGACTCCTCAACCGGCTGCAGCAGGAGTACCAAGCCCGGGAGCAGCTGAGGGCACGCTCCCTGCAGGGCTGGGTCTGCTATGTCACCTTTATCTGCAACATCTTTGACTACCTGAGGGTGAGGCCCCAGCCACCCTGTGAGGCAGAGATGACCATTTCTCAAGTTTGAAATGCTCCATGGGGAGCATTTCAAACTTGAGAGATGGCTGCCACTCTGTCCCCTCCTTTTTCTCCACAGGTGAACAATATGCCCATGATGGCCCTGGTGAACCCTGTCTATGACTGCCTCTTCCGGCTGGCCCAGCCTGACAGTCTGAGCAAAGAGGAGGAGGTGGGTAGCCCTGGCACAGAAGGCTGTAGAGGGTTTGGAGGGCATCACTTCTGGGTAGCAGCCTGGTGGGGACATTTAAGGCCTGTTATAGTTACATGACAAGCTGCTGGGTCTGGAATTTATCCAGGACCAACAGCAGCCAAGACTGACTGGTTCAGCAGCTTCTCCCCAGCAGGAAAACCAAGCTATGATAGGAATGGTGACAGCCATAGCCAGCTGTGGGCACAGATGGCCTAGAAACCAAACCAGGTCAGGCAGTCAGTGGGAAGCAGGAAAGTGGAGTTCAGAAGCAGTTTGGAGAACAAGCGAGGCCTGCCTGGGCAGATGTTCTAGGCAAGGTTCTGAACTCATTTCTTTCTCTTTGGAGGAGGAGGGTATGGGGGAGTGCAGTTACCAGGGATTAAACTCAGGGGAGGGGTACTTGTCTACTGAGCCACATCCCTAGCCCTATTTTGTATTTTATTTAGAGACAGGATATCTCACTGAATTGCTTGGTGCCTCGCTGTTGCTGAGGCTGGCTTTGAATTTGCAATCCTCCTGCCTCAGCCTCCCGAACCACTGGGACTATAGGCATGTGCCACTGTACCCAGCCACTTGTTTCCTTCCTTACATGTGGGTAACATGGTGGGAGGTGTGAAAATGAAAAACTAGAATAAAGGACCAGGCATGGGGGCCTGACACTCAGCAAGCAATACCTCTCCTGTGAGAGGCAGGTCCTACCCAGACTGACGAGGTATTTTCTGCTACCTCTGCAGGTGGACTGCTTGGTGCTCCAGCTGCACAGGGTTGGGGAACAGCTGGAGAAGATGAATGGGCAGCGCATGGATGAGCTCTTTGTCCTGATCCGGGATGGCTTCCTGCTCCCAACAGGCCTCAGCTCCCTGGCCCAGCTGTTGCTGCTAGAGATTATTGAGTTCCGGGCGGCTGGCTGGAAGACCACGCCGGCTGCCCACAAGTATTACTACAGTGAGGTTTCTGACTAGGTTTGGCTCAGTGATTGCTCACTGCAGCACTGGTCTTTACTCCACCCTCCTCCTAAGATGGCAAGACAGCTGCCTCTCCCAAAGGCTTTCCCTTTCTGGACTTCCACATCTCCCCATTTATGCCATAGTCCTCTCATTCCCTTCCCCCACTCAGAGGTTGGCAGGGACACCAAACAGATCTGCTCCCTTGGCTCAAGACTGATCCCCTTTCCCCACAGCTCAATCAGCCTCTCTCTTACCACCTTTCCCCTGGGCCAGTCAGAGAAGGGCAGTTTCTAACCACTGCACCCTATAATAATTGGTGCAACATAACCTTGGTGCCTCAGTTTCCCCATATGTAAAATGGGTAATCACAGTCATCCATAGGATGTTTTGGGATTTTGAGGAGCACAGAGCACAGCTCGTACCAGAAACTGCTTTTTATACATTTTGTATAAAAACTACTGTGGAAACCAGCCTATATCCTCCAGCCAGTTTTAATGAATGGTAGTTCTTACATAATGTGTTATACTAGTTCAGATTAAAGATTTTCTAATAATCATTTCTAATACAAAAATTTCTTCCTTTCATAGTATCAGAAGGCCCACTCTGAGGTGAGAGAAGCCTGGGCCCTGAGTTTCTTGGAGAAAATCAATAAATTGACTTGTTCTCTCTTTACRAAGAGATGGGACAGGGAGAGCTATTCTAGCCCCAAAGGAAGAGGACTGATAGGCAACAAACATGCTGCTCCATTCTTCTCAAAAGGAACTATATCCTTAACCCACAGGTACTTTTCAAGAGAACAGTGGCTCATAAGGTTTTCTTGTTTTTAAATGGCAGAGGCCCTGGGCTCTGATGGGAACCTTTCCTCCCCCTCTACCACCAACGGTAGTGGGCCAGGGCTCGGTTGGCCTCAGCCATCTTGTGCATATCGTGCTTCCTCTTGATTACGGGGCCTTGGTTGTGAAAGGCCTGCAACAGCTCATGTGACAGCTTCTCTGGCATCAATGTCCGCCGGTGCTTATTCTTTCGGCATTCAGTGATCATCCACTTCATGGCTAGGAAGCGGCGACGTCGGTCAGCTAGGGGCACAGGGACCTGGGTGAGGGGACAGGACAGGTAAGCGGGTCCAGGGGCTTGCCATGGCTGGGGACTCCTGACTCCCAAAGCTGTAAGGAATGGCTCTGTCTTTTTTTCTTTGACCCTCATCTTTGGATAACCTCAGGGTAGCAGACATAAGTGGCTTTGCAAACCTCACCAAGTATTGGCCTTTTCCCCTCTAATGGAAGCTTTGCCACAAAAAGCTTTGATACAAGCACCGATTGGAAAAAGCCCTGTTTTCTGGGTGACATAGCTACTCTGGGTGACCAAGAGTGCCTAAAAACATGACCCCGTGTACAAGAATCATTTGCAAGGCTCTATGTGTCAGATACTAAAGGTGCAGTGAGAAACTTCGTACCATAATGGAGTTTATACTGATGATTATTACAACCTATGCTAGAGATACCAAGTTCAATACCACTAAAAGTGATGAACCATCAGTTATGGGTCAAGCACTATGCTAGATACTGGCATATAACTTTGGGATATAAACGTAGTCCCTTCGCCAAAAGAAATATATGGTTTAGGACAAACAGGATGCTAAACAGAAGGTGGGAAGGATGGGCTACCAGAAGATGTCAATTAGCTACTTCTTTGCTCTCTTCCTTTTCTGTCTTCTGCTTATACAACTAAAGTGAGTAGATCCTGATGGTCTCTAGTCTAGAGAGCTAACAATCTCTTGGCCCAGCTCTGGGCCCTCCCACCATCTTTTTTTTTTTTTTTTGGTGGGGGAGGGCCTTTACTAGGTATGGAACCCCCGGCTTTATGAATGCTAATAAGCAAGTGCTCTGCCACCAAGCTACACTCTTAGCCTTCCATTCCCATTGTTTTCCATGTGGGCAGCCCTGCTTTCTTGCCAGACCACTCACCTGGTAGAAATGGCCACCCCTGAGGATGGGTACCAGCCCAATTACAGGCTCACAGTTTTTCAGTGCTTGGTGGAAGATGGTATAGGGGTTGCGTTCAATGGTTGCCTGTTCCTCTCCAGAAGCAGCATGGTACTTCTCAAACTGCTTCCTTTTCACAGATTCCAGAGTCTGCAAAGGGAGACAGTGGAAGAAGTTGCACCAGGCTTCATATAGAGTTGACCCATCCAGCTAGTACCTTGCCCTTTACTCCCACCACTCAGTTCTTCGGCAGTACAGTTGAACCCTCATCATGTACAATACAAAGTCCTTTTTTTTTTTTTTTTTTTTTTAGTTCTCGGTGGACAAACATCTTTCTGTGTATGTGGTGCTGAGGATCGAACCCGGGCCGCACGCATGCCAGGCGAGCGTGCTACCACTTGAGCCACATCCCCAGCCCCAATACAAAGTTCTTAAGTGCCTCCTTCTTTTGCTAGACTAGGATAGAAAGAGTGGGCAGAGATTTGTGACATGGCAGGGAATGGCAGTTGTTGAYTCCTGCAGGACCTCATTGAAGCCCCAAACCCTATACATTACAGGGGAGTTAATTTTTAAAAAGAGGCATATGAATAGATTCTAATATTTTTTGGGTACTGGGGATTGAACCCAAAGAGCTTAATYAGTGAGCCACAGCCCCATCTTTTTTTTTTTTCAATGTTGAGACAGGGTCTGGCTAAATTGCTTAGAGTCTCCAACTCTCCTCCCTCAGGCTCCTGAGTTGTTGGGGTTAAAGGCATGTGTCATCATGCCTGGCCCATTCTTCTTGAAGAGAAAGATAACAGGAGGAACTCTTTACCTGGTTCATGAGAGATCTGGCCAGTACTTTGTTTCCTCCTTTCATCATCATGTTGGTGAATTTACTTCAAGGAGAAAAGCAACAGATTTAGCTTTCTAAGGCTGTATTATGGTATCCTTGCTGCAGACCCTCCCTGGGATAATCCCAGTCCGTGGAACAAGAGTTTCCATCTAACCTGATCACGGGGTCTGCAAACACGGAGCTTGTTTTCGTCGCTGGGGCAGCTTTGATGAGCTGAGTTTTCTTGAGCTCCTGGTCATATTTCTCTTCCTCGGTGAGCTCTGCCACAGACTTGCGGTAATGTTCCTTGTCAATTAGGGGATCTCTGAATTCAGCACCATAGCGGCTCCACCTCACCTGGGTTTGCCTGGGAGCGGGAAGCAAAGGAGGCAGGCACAAGCTGACTCCACAAGTGAACAAGCTTGACTTAACAATAGGTATGTGTGCCAACCCGCCAACGAGGGTGAGCAGCACGGAAGCCGCGAGCTTTACCTGAACAGTAATAATTTTGGCTCTGTCCCAAGAGGTAGAAGGACCTCCCCCAAACAGGTCAGGAAAGCTTCCTCCTAGTCAAATGCTAACGGTAAGAACAAGCTCCCGCCAGCTCACCTCTCCACCCACCTCCAGGCATCTCAGCTCTAAACTCTTAACAGGGCTGCACTTCCAGCTCGAGTTACACCCCGACATAGCCCGACCTCCCAGCCAAGGGGCAGTCACTAAATCTTCAGATTGGCCCAAGGTTACGCAGCTGGTTAAGAGGCTTGAATTTAGGTGTTTCGACCCCTAGAGCAGCGCTCTCTCCAAGGTCCAGCGTAGGTCGGCCTGTGGTTCCTTTCTTTCCCCGCAGGTCCCTCCGTGAAGACCCAGGCGGTGCTCCCAGTTGCCCGCTGCCCTCTTACCCTAGAAGCGGACTGACAGTACGCAGCAAGCCCGGCGCCAAGCCTGACCAGCCTAGCAGAGCCTTCAGTGCGGGGGCAGCCATCTTGGCCGGCCACGAGGACCCCACAAGGACTGTCCTCGGCGCGCCTGAGCTAGGGACGGGAGACGGGATAAAGAAGTCAGAGGGTCCTAAAGCTTCATTTTCATTGGTCTGCACATTAGAATCTCTCACTCCAAGGGCCAAAAGGAAGAACCAAAAAGAAACACTCGCGGTCCCAATATCCGTCGCAGTCTGGCGGACCCTCAATAACAGCGCTCACTCCTCTCAGGCCCCCATGCAGGCCCCGCCCTGGTTCAGCTCTTACGGACTCTCGCGAGGGTTGAGGCCGCGGGGTCGACCCGGGCGGCTGCAATATGGCGGAGGCGGAAGGGGAGAGCCTGGAGTCTTGGCTGAGTGAGTAACCGCGGCCGCTTCTGCCTGTCCTCGAGCCGCCGAGCGGTCCCTCTCTTCACCCCCCCGTCCCCTCCCGGGCTTCGCGGCGGCGCCGCTTGGCGGCTCGCGCCCGGGCGACCCCTTGGCAAGCATCCGGCGATCACGCCCCTTCGCGAGCAGAGGGCCCCTCTCTGCAGCGCGTCCTCCCGCTCCCGCGCGAGGCGGCCGCAGCTTTGGGTCCTGTCGTGGCCCGACAGGCCTGGGGAGAGTGGCAAGGAAGTTCTCAGGGCTGACAGTCATTGGCGCTTTGGAGCTGATGGTAGGGCCGCTCCCTAGTGTGACTCCGGAATTCCTGCACCCCAGTCCCCGAGGAAGGGAAAAAGCTCCGTATTTGGGCTGAAGCTCGGGGGAGAGGTGGGTGCTGCCACCGGTACACACGCCTGGCAGCTTCAAAATCTTGACCATGGAAAACTGACAGCTTTGCTCAGGCAGAAAGCTTGAAGTGCTAATAATTTTCCAAAGAGCGACGATAGACAACTAGTTTAAGTCGACGTTGGGACTCCCTCACACGCACACACTTGATCGTCGCGACATAACACACTCTGAGTAAAGCGAAGAAGCAGTTGGAAGCTGTAACCATAAGCGATGTATTGCTGTAATTGTTAATTCACATTACTCTGAAAGAATGAGGGTTAACCTTAGCAGGCAGTATTTTGCTAAAGGGTTAATATGTGAACTTTCCTAAGGGCTAGACCCTCTGGGGGTCTCTTTCAGTAGAACAGATACTGGACAGGATAAGACAGAAAGATGTGGACATCCTGCCTTGTGCAGTATGCCTAACTGAGTAGTCTCCAAGTTCTTGAGGGTGATAGCTGTTGCCTCGAATTGCCTGACCTTTCTTAAAAAACCCATTTCAAGAGGTAGAACCTAGGCTTTAACAGAAGCACATTCCAAAAGGGAGAAAAGTAAAATTACATTTGCAAAGCCTGCTGTTGAAGGTAGGTCACAAAGTCTTTAGTATATGTGGAACTAACTATTCTCCATGGAGATCAAAATGCTATATAGATATTCATTGAAATTATTTACAAGTATCCTAGCAAAGAAGGTTATGCTGTCAAAAGTTTCTCAAAAAGATAACACCTTGACTGCAATCAAACTACCTGCCTAGAATCAAATGTAGGATTTCACAGTGGAATTGGTTTGATTCAGATTTGGGGAGGGGGGGCATTTGGGAATTTGATTGGCAAATGATGCAACAAGGAGATAGAATTTAAGCCAGGTCTTAAAGATTCAGAAAAAATTGGCTAAGAAAACGCTGGATGATTCTGAGTGCGTAGTGCACTCAGGAGGCTGAGGCAGGAGAATTGAAAGTCTGAGGCTCAAGAACTTAATGAAAAGGCCCTAAACAACTTAGACCCTGTCTTGATATTTTAAAAAAAGGACTGGGG